AATTAGTCCTTATCATATTATGCTTGGTTCCATGAGGGAAATTGTAACTACCTTTGGGGGAAAAGACAGGCTTATCCCTAAGGTGCTTAAGTAGTACACTCACTGTACATTTGGTAGTTTAAAAAAAAAAAAATTTAACAAATACTTTCACTCATTCATCCTTGAATGAGAGAGAGAGCCCTCAGGAAAACATCATTCATGAAGCCCACACCTACTTCTTTCTCTTTTTAGACCAAGCAGACTAATAGTATCTGGGCTTCCTGACAGCTTCGGAACAAAGCATGTAAACTCGCCTACTGTCAGCCTCCACACCAACATGAGATGGATATGGGCTGCCTGGGGTGTGCAGTTGGTGAAGGAAATGCTATACTTGACTATGAGAGAGCGCCATGTTCAAATATTCATGTAGTACTCATGATTTGTGTTCAAGCCTCCTTCCATGGGAAGAACCAGTGGTAGACCTGAAGAGCTCTGCCTTCAGACAGATGATTCACTCAGAACAGGTTGCTAGTGACTGAACCTCAGTGACAGGGTCATCCTTTGTCACCCAGCTCTCCAAGGGCACCTTGCTCACGGATGCTAAGCTCAGAGTGAAAGTGCCTTTTGGAGTGCTAGCTTCTTTCTACCAAAAATGATAGATTTCCATCTGTGCTGCCAAACGGGTAAGTTCTTTCCTTAAGGAGCACTTATAAAAGATGACTTCCAGGCTGGGTGCAGTGACTCACGCCCATAATCCCAGCACTTTGGGAGGCCGAGGTGGGTGGATCACCTGAGGTCTGGAGTTCGCAACCAGCCTGGCCAACATGATGAAACTCCGTCTCTACTAAAAAAAATACAAAAATTAGCTGGGTGTGGTGGTGCACACCTGTAATCCCAGCTACTTGGGAGGCTGAGGCAGGAGAATCACTTGAACCTGGGAGGCAGAGATTGCAGTGACCTGAGACCGCACCATCACACTCCAGCCTGGGGAAGAAGAGCAAAACTCCATCTCAAACAAATAAACAAACAAACAAACAAAAAGACTTCCTTTTGCCAGAAAACTAAGGCCCCCCCCCCAAAGCAAAATTATTTCCCTTTGGCTGTTCAGGAACAATTGCTCATCCCCTTTTGATTTTTTGACTTTTAACTCCTCCTCAAGGAAGTTAAAGGATGTTTTTTGCTATTGGTAGGTTGTGCTTTTCTAGAGGGAAATAGTTCTAATATTGAGATCTAAACTGAGAATTGCTGATTATCCATGGAACAAGCATTTTATAAACAAGACCAGACCCTAGCTCCCACAGAGGACATGGTTGATAGCTTTAGTACCAAAGCACAAGCATTATCTTCTGAGTGGGAAAGCAGATATGGAGCTTCCTTGCCCACCTGACACCTGAGCCAACATGTGCAGAATTGGAGCCTTCCAAAACTTGGGCCTTTTCCAAGGTTCTCCAAGTCGAGGAAGGGCATCATTGTGTCAGCTTGGGTACTCCTAGAGCAGACACCAATGTGGAATTAAACCTGGAAGAGTTTATTGGGGAAAATGTGTATGAAGAATAAAGAGGAGCAGAAGCAAGAGTAAACAGAAAGAGCCTTACACCGTAATGCAGGTCTGACCCCTGTGAAAGAGGAGAGGGAAGGTGGGAGGAGTAGATAGGAAGAGCCTCAGACTGCAGAGCCACTCTGAGAAAGTGCTGGCCAGGCTGACAGGAAGCCCCAGAGTACAGGTGGCCTATTAGAGGAGTTTTGCCTCTGGCATTCTCTCTTATAGCGTCAAATGCACCCTGTAGCATTTAGGATGGCATTCTATATTTGACCAATTATTTGATTGTTTTATTACCTCACTCAAGAGTGTTTCCCGAGGGCAGAGACCACATTTATTTTTGCTCGTCACTGAATCCCCAGCATTAGCAGGGTGGCTGCATTTTGAGGTTGCCACAGAATATTTGTTGAATGAAGTATCTAAAAGGGTTCATTTTTATCTGAATCACACATCAGGTATTTTTTTTCCTAACCAGTGACTCCTAAGTTATATGCTGCTTGCACCATGCTTTCATTCCATTTATATCATTCTTCAGCTGTGTTGTGTGATCGTCAGCTGTGCCCCGCCCCCCAACCCTCCATTGCCCGCTTCTGTAGTAAAGTCTTTTGGAACTGGCCTTGGACTTGGACTTTTACTTCTTTTGTGTCTTCATTGACTATCAGTGCAGGCCTGGATAAAGTGCTTGTTGCAGAACTTGCTACTGCACAAACTTTTGTTCCAGGGTTAGATCAGGAAGGGTAGTAAGGAAAACAGAGCTGTCTCCAAAAGGTGGGATAGAACGCTGTCCTTTAGAAGTTAAATTATAAATCAAGCCAATCAGAGCAAAGACACAAAATGTCTCCATAAAGAAAAATAAGGGCTGCAAAACCTTACTGGGTAACATTTACTCAGTAATGCCTTGCTCTATCTAAAAATGTATCCATCTGAGGAGGGGCGGCCCTGATAAAGAGAGCCTCATCGAAACAAACAGATGGTGTCCACCAGGCCCCATCTAGGGAGAACGGCAGGCCAGGCCAGCAGGGATGAGTGAACAGTCCTCCCTACAGGTTTTGACCTGTGTTGTGGAAAACGACATCCCACATTGCCCAAGCCTGATATCGTTAACCATTTAAGTCAGACAATTCACTCTTCTGATTCTGATTTTAGGCTCACTAAGCCACCTACTGACTACTGGGCTCCAAACTGCATGGCTACAAGAAGAGAATATACTCTTCAGGTGGCCTCAAGTCCTGTGTTCCTGACGGTCTTGCTTCTAACAGGAATGGCTAAGCTGCAGATTTTGGGGTCAGATGGCCTTGATTCAAACCCTGCCACTAACATACATAGTAACTATGTGACCTTGGGATTTCCTTCATCTTTTGTTCTCCCAAGTGAAAAATAAATAGGTTATAATATACCACATGATAGTAGGGAGAATTAAATGAGGTAATGCATGTAATGCATTTAGCATAGCACTTCTCTAGCAAATAATGAATGAAATCAATAAATTGGTATTCTGACTTCATGCAACAGTGCTAATCAACTATGGAACACTGGAAGTCAGATGAGATTTTTGGTCCCACAAAGTCAAGGACAAAACCTTGGGAAGTCGCCAAGATGAAAGACTTCAGGCCGGCCTTCACCTCCTGATGCTCTCTGTTCACATGTGTGATGTCTATAAAAGGTAACCAGGATTTGGCTTATCTTCTTATATCTCTTCCATCTTTTCCTGATCTTCATCTTCCCAAACATAGTTTTTATGCAGAAGCAGATTTAACTCTACTTTGCTATCTTGGAGTCAAGAATTGTCCTATAAGGAGGAAAAGGCTCCAAGATTTGCCTTTTTTGTTTCGTTTTTCTTTTTTCCTTCATACTACAGACTAAAAGTATCATCTTCTGGACAGAGAAACAGGCTATTGTTTTTCTAAGGTCATCATTTGGCCTGCCCCACTTTCCCACCTGCTCTTGAGGGAACTATTGCAAGGACACATACAAGCCCCTACATCAGTCACAGACCAGGGCCTCCATCTTGCAGGGAATGTGCCCAAATTACAAACAGGTAAATCAAAGTGACTCTGGGCAGATTTAATAGTTTATTTTGGTTTCTTGTTCCAGTTGTAACAGACTGCTCTATGTTTGCTCTATGGCAAAAACTTTTATGTTTGCTCTGCAACAAACGTACACACAGGGCAAATTGTGTTTGGAGTATGGTGTCTTGCCAATGTTTTCTAAAAGCAAGTGAATAGAAATGCTTGCAAAAGTATTTTCAGACTTCAGTGGCCAGCGCTGAACACTGCTGTAGGAATGTCCATCAAATGTTGTGGCCGTGCTCTGCTCTAACAAAAACCTGGTTCCATGGCATAATTGTAGGGGCTGTCAGGCTAAGTTTGAGACACCTTCCAAAAAAAATTTCAGGGCTTCCTCAGTCTTTAAACTCCAGAAAATATTGTCCAAACTTTGACAACTAACCTGTTATCATGGAGATAGCTCCAAGTTGACGCACTGGCCACTGGAGAATGTCTATCAAGCATCCAGGTAAATAATGACTTTGTTGCTGCCCTCAAGGAACCTACCTAGAGGCTGACAGAAAATTTTAAGTATTTTTTCCTTCTATTGTTCATTCCTAAAATTCTGGCGGTAGGTATGATTATTATTCCCATCCCACAGGGGAAGTAACTAAGTCTAACTACTTGAATATTTTGTCCCAAATCACTAACAATAAGAGATGGCCAGACACTGAACCCTGGAATCTCTAAATGTTTAGATCTTGATGGGCACTGCTTAGACCAGGGAGTCCAAACCATAGGCTTGCTGTTCCAGTTTCTCTTATCGGATGGAGGGACCCCCATTTCACCGAGATCATTGACTTTTGGGTTCTCCGCTGACCCCAGATAAGATGCCTGGTACCTCGTGGTCAAGTCCCCTCCAAAGGGGACTCCTCTGAGGCTTGGTCCCAGCTGCTCAGGCTGGCACCCGCCTCCTCAGGCCAGAGCCCAAAGCGCCACCAGCGGTCAGTTCCCGGGCCGGCTGCCAGCCACAGGCCCAAGTAAACGCTGAATGAAGGGCAGATGGAGGAACCTGTCCCGGTCTGGCGAGAGCGCCGCGGGCGCCTTTCCGCTTACCGCGGGCCTGCCCAGCCTCCCGTCCAGCCCGGGCCCGGGTCCCGCCGAGGCAGGTGTGCGCGGCGGACTCGCTCTCGGGCACTCGGCGGGACCGAGCTCCACCCCGAACGCCACCGGGCAGGCCACGCGCAGACCCGAGCCCGGGGCCCCCGCCTCTGGCTGCCGGCCCGCGCTCGGCCCCGGTCCCGCCTCCTGGAGGTTTTCGCTTTCGCTTTCCTGCCGATGTCGTTGAGGAAAATGAAAGTGGTTGTGTCCAGGACTGGCGCAGCTGCCGTCCCCGGCGAGGGGCGCAGAATGCGGCGGCGGCCAGCCTGGAGCGCGGGCCCTGGGGCGCCCGCGCAGGGCGAGGTAAGCGCAGCCCTTTCGCCTCCGCCTCGCGGGCTCCTCCTTGCGGACCCGGCGGGCCCGACGCCAGGCGGTTGACCCGGGCAGGGTCTGGGGTTCTGCCGTGGGGGCGGGGAGGGCCTGAGACGCGGCACCCCTGGGTTTCGTGGCTTTGAGCCTCCAGGGCGGGCTGGAAGACCTGGGAGGCCTCAGACAAGCGTGCCAAGGGGCTAGCAGCCCGGGGTCGAGCTGGGACCGTGGCAAGTCGGGCCACCTGAGCACACCTTTCCTTTTTGTAGAGCACCGACCTCCCTGGGTGTTGGTAAAAATCAAAAGTGGGAGGGTGTACGTAAAATACCGAGAATGCCTAACTTGAGCTCATAATCTACTCCCTCTGACCTGTCAGACTCATTTTTCCCACTGGGCCCTACCCCATCCCTCGTGTAGTTTGCGTAAGTTTCCTAGATCTGGTGCACCTGGGGGCCCTTGGGGTGCCTTCCAAGTGTTCCCTGACCGAGCAAGCTGGCAGCTCATCTCCCTTGATCACAGGCATGGAGAGCAACTAGGCCACGATGGGGCCCCATTGCCCCGGCCCTGTCCATGTGAAGTCAGGGCCTCACTCTGCTGGGGCCCCCATCCCAGGGCTAGCATAGATGGTCAGGGATAGGTGCACTCACAGAAGGAGTCCTTCCCAGACCGGGAAATTTCCAGTCCACTGCATCTGCCAGCAGAAACATGAAAGATGCGTGCCACCTTGTCTTTGTCCTTCGTCAAGTATAGACAACTCATTCTTGGTATGCAGGAAGGGGTTCCCCCCGCCAGCGCTGTGGAAACAGCCCCTGCCCTTAAGGCGTTCCCCATCCCCTGACGAGAGAAAATATGTATTCAAGTTACCCATAAGGCAGGTTGTGCAGAACAAGGACAGATGAGTGAAAGAGCTAAGAGCTGAGAGTAAAGTGACTAAATCATCAGGCACTTAACTTACATTTAAGTAACGTCAGCTTTTGCAGGCCCATACCAAGAATCCCCTTTAAGTCAATTTTTGTCTCAATAATAATGAATTCAACCTAATCACACAGATCTGATCATAAGACCCATTACTGAAACAAAACTTGAATGATCTTAACTTTGATAAAACCATCTGAATTTGACAAAGATGGTCTAAGGTCCTAAGTTTTAAAACATGGGGTCCCCCGCTGCTCTACCCCAGGACAGTGTTGAGTACTGATTGCTTTTAGAAAATGTTGCTGTTGCTGGGCACCGCACGGTGGCTCACGCCTGTAATCCTAGCACTTCAGGAGGCCGAGGCGGGCAGATTACTTGAGATTGGGAGTTTGAGACCAGCCTGACCAACACGGAGAAACCCCATCTTTACTAAAAATACAAAATTAGCCGGGCGTCATGGCACATGCCTGTAATCCTAGCTACTCGGGAGGCTGAGGCAGGAGAATCGCTTGAACCTAGGAGGTGGAGGTTGCAGTGAGCCAAGATCGCGTCACTGCACTCCAGCCTGGGCAACAAGAGCTAAACTCCATCTAAAAAAAAAAGAAAATCAAATAAAGAAAATGCTGCTGTTTTCGTGAGCCAGAAAATTAGATGCACTTCCGTTCACATTCCATTGGCAAGATCTAGTCTCATGGCTCTCACCTAATTGTAAGGTGGCTGGGAAATGTAGCCTGGTGGTGTTCCCAGGAGGAAGAGAACAGAGAGACTGGTGAGTACTCGTAACCTCTTCCACAATCGACTAATGTAGTGAATTACTTTATCATGATGTATTTGTAATATACTTTTGCATTTGATTAGGTAATATTTAGGAGTTTAACATCCATGTTTTTAAGTGAAACTATCCTGTATTTTTATTTGTACAGTCCATATTTAACATTTCAAAATTAAGTAACCTTAAGTTGGGCAATGTTTTCTCTTTTTTTCTATCTTCTAAAGCAACTCCATTAAGATAGAGATTTTCTGCTCCTTGGAAGTTAGTAGAAGGCACTTGTAAAATGTTCTGGGTCTGGAACTCTATGGGGAAGAGGTTTCAAAATTATTTGAGTCTCTTAAGTAGTTATACACATTTTTTGTGCCAAATTTGGTAATTTTTATTTTCTAGAAATGTATTCATTTCATCTGTATTTTCAAATGTGTTATCATGTATTTATATTATTCTTTATACATTTTAAAACATCTGTTTTATTTGTCATTTCTTCCTTTTTCTGTAATCTCATTATTTAAAAATCTTGTGTCAGTTATTCTTGATCAGTCTCACTAGAGGTTTGTCTACTTTCAAGTAAATACTTCGAGTTTTGTTAACCACCTTTTTTTTGGTCCTCTATGTCCTCTATTTCACTGATCCTGCCTTTATGTTTATTATTCCGTTTTATTACGTTTACTATTACATTTATTTTTTCATGTTCCTTTGGTCATATGCTTTTGTAATAGATTCAAACAGTGTAGACATTTGTAAAGTGAGACAGGAAAGTCCATTTCAGCCTCTATAGGCAACCACAGATATCATATTGGGGTGTGTTTTTCTGGACCCTTTCCTATGCTTATACAAATATTTTCCTACAACTTTCTAAACTGAAACTCATAGGTAAACCGCTCTCTATAGGCAACCACAGATATCATATTGGTGTGTTTTTCTGGACCCTTTCCTATGCTTATACAAATATTTTTCTACAACTTTCTAAACTGAAACTCATGGGCCTCTTTCTATGGTGTATACACACACATATGCATACATACACACACATACACATCCATTAAAGTGGAATATGTACCATAATTTATCCATTTTCCATTCATGGGCATTTAGGGTGAAAGTCTTGATCTTTTAATAATGGAATTTAATTCATTCTTACTTATTTTGATCACTGATAAATATGGTCTTATTTTTGCCATCTTGTTTTGCCATGTATTAATCATGCATTTTTTTTCCTTGTGACTCTATGGATTCATCAAAGTGTATTTGTCCTCTGTGTCTTCTTTCCTTCTTTTTATTCAGTGAGTTGGAAGTTCTATATCTTACAATAGGCCATCATTTAGTTCTTAAGCTTAGATAAACTTGTATTTTTGTCTCTCGCAAAAATCAGAACCAATAACCTCCTTCCAAATATAATAATTTTTTTTTTTTTGAGACAGAATCTTGCTCTGTCACCCAGGCTTGAGTGCAGTGGTGCAATCTCGGCTCACTGCAACCTCCACCTCCTAGGTTCAAGCACTTCACCTGTCTCAGCCTCCTGAGTAGCTGGGACTACAGGTGTGCGCCACCATGCCCAGAAAATTTTTGTATTTTTAGTAGAAACGGGGTTTCACCATGTTGGCCAGGATGGTCTCGATCTCTTGACCTCGTGATCTGCCTGCCTCGGCCTCCCAAAGTGCTGAGATTACATAAGGATGTTTTCACGTCTCTTTTTCCTCACCTTTCCCCCACAGGCACATATACACGTAGGTATCTGCCCAGGAATAACCTGAACAATTCCAATTGTTATTAATTCTTCTTGTTTCAAAATACACTTTCCTTTTTCTGTTAGAAATATTAACAATTGCATTAGTCTACAATCTAACCTATTTGTGCAATTGCATATTATACCAGCATAGGAAAGTTTAAACATGTATTTCTTTTAGACTTTTCATTGACTTGCTGAAAATTTGTAGTGAATTGTATCTTGAGTAATGCTTCTCTGGGTCTCTTATTTCCCAAAAGTATACTTTGGAATCCATGCAATTCTGATCCTTGTTTGACCTTTGCTGGCACAAAGGCATTCTGAAATATTTGCAAATGCTAAAGTCACTTCCTCATGTTTTACAGAGTTTACTTTAGCTTGGTGAAACCAAGTGCAATATCAGTTTGTTGTAAGCTTACCACTAACTAAAGATTCATAAAATAGCCCTGCCCTAGGGTCAGGGACTAGCTAGAGGAGCATGAAAATAGTCTTTGAAGATTCAGCTGCTGGATGTTTTACACCAAAAAGCTGAAACGTTTTAACTATTTCAATATTTTGTTTATAGTACTTAATATTTGTGAACATGAAGGAAAATGGGCACTCTTATAGTAAAACTGTGGTTAAACTAACTTGGATGGTGTTTGGGCTCTGGTTATCAGAAGCTCCTTAAAGTGTCCATACCTTTTATCCCAGTTCTACTTCCAAGAATATGTCCTAAGGCATGTTTTCGTAGGAGGTTATTTCAGGTGGCGCAGGGTAATTCTAGTTGGGACACATTTGCCACATTGTCTAACACTGACTCACAGTGAGAAAGTTATTCCCATGCTCAATTCCTTTTCACTCTTCTGATCAAGAGAAGGAGAAAATCTTTAGCTTGGTGCTAGCATGCCTTCAACACCTCTCTCACTAAGCCTCTCTAATCTCCCATTTTATATAAAAGAATGAGCAAAGGGAGAGCAGTATTTTGACTCTATTTTAACCACAGTATTTTTTTATTCCAATAAAACATATTATGATTGCCTTCATTTATGGCATATGATGTTGGTTTTCCACTTAAATAGGTTTGGTTTGCTTTTTTTTTTTTTTTTTTTTTTTTTTTTTTTGATACTGAGTCTTGCCCTGTTGTCTAGGCTACAGTGCAGTGGCACAATCTTGGCTCACTGCAACTTCTGCTTCATAGGTTCAAGCGATTCTCATGCCTCAGCCTCCTGAGTAGCTGGGACTACAGGCACGCACCACCACGCCTGGCTGATTTTTTGTATTTTTAGTAGAGACGGGGTTTCGCCATGTTGCCCAGGCTGGTCTCGAACTCCTGAGCTCAGGCAATCCGCCTGCCTTGGTCTCCCAAAGTACTAGAATTACAGGTGTGAGCCACCATACCCAGTCAGGTTTGCTTTTAAAATACATTTGTTTAAGGACAGAAATGAGTTGATTTAAAGAGAAATGTTAAGTACATTACAGATGGTAACTAATTATAGCAAAATAGTAATGGCAATGCATGGATGTAGAAAATAGGACCCTAAGGAAATAATCAGAGCTATAGACACAGATTTATATCTAGGGATATTCCCGTAGATGAGGAGGTTCCTACCAATGGCTTATGTTACCATAAAGTTAGAAACTACTCAGTTGTTCAGCAATTAGGGATTGGTTAAGTGATTTTTTCATACTTTCATATGATGGAATACTACCATTATGAAAAACTATATTTAATACATGGAGGATTATATACTGTTACATAAAACTGGTTATAAAAGTATATACAGTATTGTAATTTTGTTAAAAATGAAGTGAGTGTGAGTGTGTGTGTGTGTGTGTGTGTGTGCCTGTGCCAAAATCAATGGGGAAAAAAGACTAGAAGAAAATATTTCCAAATGTGTTATCTATGGATCATTGGACTACAGGAGTTGTTTGTGTTTTCCTATAATAGACATATGTCACTTTTGTCACCAGAAAAAACAATATATCTATTTTTAAATTAACATGCTCCTAGGCCGACAGGACTACCTGGTATTTTGTCATCTGCAGGCATTCCTGGGTCCTTTCCTGCTCTTACAATTCACTGAGGTCTCTGTGGCCTGCTGCAACATCATGGGGAAATAGTACCGTTAAGACGCCATTGTCATCTCTCAGTACAATCCAAGGTACTTGGTTTTGGAGTGTGCATATTTATATTTTTGGAGTAGAATGGGAGAATGTTTCTAAAATTCTCTCAAATAATTTTTATTGCTTTTTCTTCTTGACAGCTCCATTAAACAGGACCAAATTAGGATCCCATTTTTTAAGTAGGTCTGGATTATTAAGCAAGAATAGAGTAGATGCTGAGTCTCCTAGTTTCTTGTTTAGTCCTTCTTTAATTTCTACATTTTCTACTGACCATGAAGTTTTTAAATGTTGGATTTAATCATGGTTCGGCATCAGCTAGGTTAGAGATGTGTATATTTAAATCTGGACCCCTCCCTTCCAGAATTACAAAATCTCTGTTCACGGAAAAAAAAAAAAAAAATTTGCTGCAAGACTTAATGCTTAGCAGAAATAATTGCTACCTTTTGCCTAGTAAAAATTCCCCAAGTATTCTTTCTTAGGGCTTGTTCCTGGAGACTCATGAAATTTTTTGTGGGAATGGGGTTGGCAGGTTAAGCAAGTTAATGGTGTGTCTGTCTGGGAGTGCTCTACAGCGCTGGTGTGAGCTTCCTCCTTCTGTAAAAGTGCTGGGCTCTAGCCAGGGTGAGCCAGCCAGGGCCTGAGCCTGAAAGAGACCTGCTGTAGCATTCCAGTACCATCTGCCAGATTGCAGCAAGACCTTTGACTGGCCCGCTCTTCCCCTGCTTGGGTCCTTCAACTCCACTCCTCTCCATCCCCACGGCCACCACTGTGGTGCAAGCTCTCACACCTCTTGACTGAACCACAGCAGTGACCTCTAGCTAGTCCCTGCCTCCCCTTGCCCTTACGTCCAATCTGGTTTTTCACAGGGGCTAGTATGTCCTATTCTCCTACTGCTGCTGTAACAAATTACCACAAAGTCAGTGCCTTAAAACAACACAAATTTACTATTTTAGAAGTCCTGAAATTAAGGCTTTGGCAGGGCTGCGTTCCTTCTGGAGGCTCTAAAGGAGAATCGTTTTGTTACTTTTTCCAGCTTCTAGAGGCCACTGCATTCCCTGGCCCAGGGCCCCTTCCTCCTCTTCGAAGCCAAATCTTTCTCATGCCACATCACTCTGAGGCTCCTCAGATCTCCCCCGCCTCCCTCTTATAAGGACACTGGTGATTACACTGGGCCCACCTGGATACTCTCCAATTCTCAGGATCCTGAATCACATCTGCAATGTCCCTTTTGCCATGTAGGGGAACATACGCACAGCCTCCAGGGATTCACACATAGACATCTTTGGCAGGGCCATTACTCAGCCTACATAGATAATCTTTTAAAAGTACACATCTAAATGCATTACTCCTCTGCCTAAGACCCTTGTATGGTGCTCCAGTTCTCCAGGGTTAAGGCTCAAACTCCTCTTGTGGCTTGGAGTGTCATGCAAGGGTTGCCTACACTGCTTCTCCAGCCTCACCCTGCCTCCTGTCCCTGCTGACTGCCCACGATCCAGCCTGTGCACAGGGTGTGCTTTTGACAGGGACACTGCTTGATATGGTTTAGATGCATGTCTCCTCCCAATCTCTTGTTGAAATGTGATCGCCAGCATTGGAGGTGGGACCTGGTGGGAGGTGTTTGGGTCATGGGGCTGGATCCCTCATGAATGGTTTGGTACCATCCTGGAAGTAATGAGTGAGTTCTTACTCTGTTCAGGTGAGAGCTGGTTGTTTAAAGGAGCCTTGGCATCTCCTCCCCTTTCTTGCTCTTTCTTGTGCCATGTGACACGCCAGCTCCCCCTTTACCTTTCACCATGATTGTAAGCATCCTGAGGCCTGACCAGAAGCCAAGCAGATGCTGGTGCCATGCTTGTACAGTCTACAGAACTGTGAGCCAAACCTCTTTTCTTTTTTTTTTTTTTTTTTTTTTTTTTTTGAGACAGAGTCTTGCTCTGACACCTAGGCTGCAGTGGCATGATCTTGGCTCACTACAACCTCTGCCTCCCCAGTTCAAGCAATTCTCCTGCCTCAGCCTCCCAACTAGCTGGGATTACAGGCATGCACCACCACACCCAGCTAATGTTTGTGTTTTTAGTAGAGACAGGGTTTCACCATGTTGGCCAGGTTGGTCCCGAACTCCTGACCTCAGATGATCTACCCGTCTCAGCCTCCCAAAGTGCTGGGATTACAAGTGTGAGCCACTGCACCCAGCCTTAAACCTCTTTTCTTTATAAATTATCCAGCCTCAGATATTCCTTTATAGCAATGCAAAATGGACTAACACATTGCTCCTCCCCACACTCCATCTCAGGCCTCCCCCTAGATGAGGTCAGGCCTCCTGGAGGTGCTCTCACAAGGACTACATGCAATTCTGCTACCACACCTATCACAGATTAACATCTGTGCATTTATTTAGGTGATTATTTGACTAATAATAAATGTTCCTCTTATGTAAGTACTCCATACAGGCAGAGACCATGTCTATTTCTTACCCATAATTGCATCCTTGGCACAGTGCCTGACATGCAGCTGTGGGCAATAAATGACATGGTTAGTAAGTCCTTGGAAATAAATGAATAAATGAATGGATATTAACAGCATTGTCATCGTGCTGTATCTCTTTTTCCCTGCTTTTTCCTCTGCTTGGCATTTGTCTCCTTTTCTATTGTTGCCTCCCTCCACTACAACAGAAGCTTCGTGAGAGCAGGGACTTTGTCTTGTGTGTTCGCTCCTCTCTTCCCAGGTCCTAGAGCAGTGTCTGGTCCATAACACTCAATAGATATTTTGGGAATGAATGTCTGCAAGATGCTGAGAATCTCTCACAGAGTTTTCATATGTGACCCCTCTTTGAAATTGAGTATTACCAAGTTATTCATTTTAATGATTCAACCTAATTCAGTAATCAGGCAAATTGGCAGAGACCTAAAATATTTACCCGTCGTTGTGAGGATGAAATAAGTAAACAAGTGTGAGTTATTTAGAGCAGTGTCTGGTAACCACAGCCCTGTGTAAGAGTTTGCTGCTGTTGTTAAGAAATGCTTGACTTCTTATATCTTAGAGTTTTTGCTGACTCTGTTGCCTGTGTTGGGATCTCAAGCAGAAACTGTTTGTGGCCCAGCAGGTGTTGGCACTCGGTGAGTGCTCCTGGCTCTTGTGCCACCGTGGGGACCCAGGTCTTCCAGCTGCCTGAGGATATAGGAGGGGCTTCAGGCGCATGATTGGGGCCATTGCTTATGTTTTTCCCTTGTTTGGCCTGCAGGTGGCAGCACACCCTGGCCCCCCAGGCAGTCCTGAGGATGGCCAGCAGAGAAACAAGAAAATGGACTCCCTGGCTGCTGGAGAGTTGAATGCCAGCCACCAGCCATGGGTGAGTGGAGAGCCTGACCGGAATTTTTCTCTTATTTGTTCTGCATTATTTGTGTTTTGGTATATGAATTGCTGTAAGTCACATGTGTTCGATTTTGAGGCCATTTGTTGATTTTTGCGGTTTATTTACAAAAACAACAAACAATAGCAGTGAAACCAGAATTATTCCTGGAATGTATCAGAGAGTATGAGGGACAAGGGCGCATCCTCTGCATTGTAAGTGTGACTTCCCTTCCCCTCTGCATCTTAGGCCTGTCCCCTTTGCCATCCAAGGAGGAAGTATCCACCCAGAATAGTTCAACAAGTATGTGACAAGCTGGGAGGGTGAGGTGTTCTTTGCGGGGACCCTGCAGTCCTTCTTCCAGTCACTCCCAGGGTGGACTATTCTGCACTGCCACGCCTGGCCCCTCAGAACCCATGGTTTCCATCTGCCTGCCCAGGCCTTGCAGCCCCTTGGTGTACTTCTCCCGCTGACCCTCCCCTCTTCTTACCCCTATTAATTTCACAGCTCTATCTTATTTATCCCAAGATCCTATTTGTGCTGCATCCTGAGCACTTGAATGAGGATTGTTTATTTTCTATTTTGATCACATTTGTTAGCTTTGTGCTTAGAAGAAAATAATTTCAGTTTCATAAATGAGAATAAGCCCTTATGTCAAGGACCACTACATCACTTCTTGGCATTCCAGTGAGGAGTCTAGTGAAGAGCTTCCCTGAATTTCAGTACCTTTCAAGGCCTCTCTTGAAAGAATGTGGAATTAATTTGGGTGGAGGCTTGTGCAAGGACTTTTTTTCTGAGTGTATTTGGCCAGTGGGCCAGTGGGGAAGCAAAGGCATGGACCAGAGAGAGGAACAAGGAAGAAGGAGAAGCTGGGGCTGCAGGATGCCATCTGCTGTTTGTACAGCTTCCCATGGCCCACCGTAGTGGCCACAGGGCACTGCTAGGAATCCTTCATGTGGCTGTTGCTTGCTGTTGGGTGACATGATTCAGAACTGTGTAGCTCCATGTCCAGTTCCACTCCGCATCTCACTCACAAAGCTCTAGTGTTGGGCTGTTGGGTTTTGGTGAAAGCAGGTGCTATGAAGAATGTATTGAAGGACAAATCAGTCCCTAAGGGACTTCGATAGACACAGTCCTAAAAACATTTCCGGGCTGGTTTCTTTTTTTTAAACACCAGTTAACCGTTTTCAGTTTAACTGTGTTTTCCTTCCTGAAACCTTTAAGTGAGACTAATTGGTATGATTTTTTTTTTTTTTTTTTTTTTTGGTATGCATTGTTTTTAGGGAGTTTCTCTACTTGTCAAGTCTGGGTTGGAGACAGAGATGAAATGGTTTTTTTTTTCCCCACACAGACCAAGCATGCAGAAATGGGAATGATTTAAGTTTGTCTTTAATTTAATTTCTATATATTTATTTTCCTTTCCTTGGGAAATAGAGGAAATATTTGGGGGCATTTTCACCAAATTATAACTTGTAACTTCACATGAGCCTGTCAGCAGGAATTTCTGTGCATGTTTTAATGCCTGGTTGGGGGAGACATGAAAAGACAACAGACAGTTGCCCTCAAGGATCCTTTGTTCTGGCTGGGGAGTCACAACTTTGTTCTTCCCTTTAAGTAACACCAAATACTAGAGCCCCAGGGGCAGGTCTCATCATGAATGCCCAGTAGTCAGTGCCTAGAAAAACCTAAGTCCGGGAAGACTATGAGACCTGGCCCTGGGGCTCTAGTAAATTCAGATGAGAGAAAAGAAGATGGGTGGTGTTTCCAGGCACACAGGTGTAAGAAGGTCCAGGGAGTACCTAGGTCCAACTTGAACATCATTTGGAGGAGTGCAGAGAGATTGTATTGGACAGGTTGGTTAATCAGATTTCAGTGGTGGTGGGAGTTTAACTATCAAGCTAAGGAGTTTGAATATGATACCATAAAGAATAGGAAGCGTCCGGGCCCAGTGGCTCACGCCTGTAATCCCAGCACCTTGGGAGGCCAAGGTGGGTGGATCACGAGGTCAGGAGATCGAGACCATCCTGGCTAACATGGTGAACCCTCTTCTCTACAAAAAATACAAAAACTTAGCTGGGCGTGGTGGCGCGTGCCTGTAGTCCCAGCTACTCGGGAGGCTGAGGCAGGAGAATGGCGTGAACCCGGGAGGTGGAGCTTGCAGTGAGCCGAGATCACGAGACTGTACTCCAGCCTGGGTGACAGAGGAGACTCCGTCTCAAAAAAAAAAAAAAAAAAAAAGAATAGGAAACACAGTTAGCCCTCCATACCAGCAGGTTCTGTGTGTGGACCTGTGGATATGGAGGACTGACTATGCTACACCATTTTTTGTTTGTTTGTTTTTTGTTTTTGAGATGAAGTCTTACTCTGTCACCCAGGCTGGAGTGCAGTGATATGATCTTGGCTCATTGCAACTTCCGCCTCCCAGGTTCATGCAATTCTCATGCCTCAGCCTCCCGAGTAGCTGGGACTACAAGTGTGTGCCAGCAAGCCCGGCTATTTTTTGTATTTTTAGAGGAGACGGGATTTTACCATGTTGGCGAGGCTGGTCTCGAACTCCTGACCTCATGTGATCCACCCACCTCGGTCTCCCAAAGTGCTGGGATTACTGGCACGAGCCATTGTACCCAGCCCTACACCATTTTTTATAAAGAATTTGAGCATCATAGCTTTTGGTATCTGAGGGGCTGTTCTGGAACCAATCCCTTAAAGATGCTGAGGGATAACTGTAATAGGCTTCTGAATGGGGGACAACTGACTGTTTGAAATAGGAACTTTTATTTCCATTTTACATCTGCTTTTCAAATACTATCTTTTCAAATAATTCTCCAAGGTCACACAGTTGGTGGGCAGGGGTTGGATCTGCCAGCCTGCAGAGTCCATGTACACGCTCACCTCTGCACTGGCTTGCATTATCTCCAGACACAGGTTGGCCTGCATGTGACCAAGGCTCCACCCAGCCCTGACCTTGGATGACTCTGAGTCTATACATAGCTGCATTTGCGTGTCAGCCTTGCTCCCTGGGCTGAACTGTTTATAGGGTGAAAGGGGACTTTGGGTAAGTCACTTCCCTGTCTTCATGAGGCTCTAGGAAAGCAGGGGCAGGAACTGAGCTAGGCCTCCATGGTCTGCACAGCAACAACCCAGATAAGTTCCAAGAGCTGCAGAGGCTGTCAGAGAAGCTTCAGAGCAGGTCCCTGGGCAAGTCTCCTCCAAAGTGGGAGCTGCAGGGCTGATGCGGATCTAGGCAAGGTGACAGCACAGCTGTAGTCACAGCACAAGTCGATTCCTGTTACTGCCCTAATCCTCCAGCATAGGCAGGAGGAGTTGGGGGTTTGAAGTTTGAAGTTGGAGGAGTTGAACTTTGAAGTTCTCCATGCATTCCTTTGTCGTTCCTTCATAGAGTATGCAGCAAATAACTAAGCACCTAATTGTTCCAGGTCTGGCCCTGGGCCCTGGGCTTACAGCAAGGAACAAAACAACCCAAGTCCCTGCCCTCGTGCCGCTTACATTCCAGTGGGTAACACAATGTTAAGGAGAAGTGAAGTAGAAGAGGAAAGTAGGGAGAGGGGATAGAGTACTAGGGCCAGAGACCTAGAGGTCCAGGAAGGCCTCTCTAAGGAGGAGCATTTGTGCAGAAACCTGGCATTTGAGCTAGCCAGGGAGCTAGCAGTGTGAATGTCTAGGTTGCAGGCAGAGGGAATGGCAAGTTCATAGAACTTAGGGAACATAGGGAAGCAGTGAGTAGGGTGATGCATTAGGGAGAGAGGAGAGTGGGAAGAGCCGAGGCTGCATGGGGCCAGACCTTGCCACCTTGCCAGCTATTGAAGAAAGGTAGGGTTTCTTTCTTTCTTTCTCCAGCTCTAAGGTATATTTCAGGCATCGTTCCTGGCTGACTGGCTCTAAATCTGCAGCCCTCCCAGAGAGCCTTTGATCGACCCAATATCTTCCTATATCATCCCTTTTCTGGCTGAACTAACCACTGTTCGTACAGCTATGAACCCTGCCTAATACAGAGCTTTGGAGGAGGAGGAGCGTGCCAACCAGCTTTATAGGGAAATTAAATATGTTTTTAAGGTTGGAAAAGATGCACTTGGATATTATATTAAAACATTTCAACTTTGGTAGAAAGGGCTCCACCTTGGCCATGGAAAGGGCCTTTGTCATCACTGTTTCCTCCCCTAGGAGCTAGGAGGCTGGGTCGGTCTCCTCCTCACCTGCCAGCCAAGGGCCTAAGCTGGTCACCCCTTGCTTGACCTTCCTGGTCTCACCTGTACAATTCAGTTAGCAATATTATTCCTGCCTGAAGGGAAAGAGGACGAAAGAAATGATTTATTGAGGGTTATTTCTATGTTGGAGGTCTCTGATGCTCTGAATAATTTCCACAGAAGGTTCCTGGGGGTTGGGACTGTTCCCTGAGTTATGTCCAGGCAGGGGAGTGGGATGATTTATGTTTATTTTATGCATCCTCCCCTCTTTTTTTTTTTTTTTTGCTTTCAAAACACTTTTACCTATGTCCTTGATCTCTGTAAAAGGGCTCTGTATGTTATAGTGGTTAAGAGCATGGAAAAACAGATGTGGTGCTGAGTGCCAGGTCCACCTTTGCTAACTTTGTCACTTTGGGCTTGTCCCCTAACCAGCCTCCTCCACAGTTTCCTGTTCCCACTGGTCTAAGATACAGAGTGGTGACCCTTGCTCCTGTCAGAGTAGGTTTAAAGACTACATAGGTGGATTTTTCCCAGAAACAATACCACTCAGAATTTTCCTTCAGGCAGCATAGCACAGGGGAGATGTCCACACACAGTCACACCTGTGTTTGAATCCCGGCTTTGCCTTTTTGCTTGTGGGTGGGTGAGTTGGGAGTGTGCTTGAAAAATTATTCAGCCTCTTCAACTCTTAGTTTCTACCTCTATAAAATGGGAACAAGAATACTTACTTCAAAGATTTGTGGTATGAATTAAACAAAATACCCTGTTTGAACTGCTTAACATATGTGTGCACAT